AATTTTCTCGAGCATTATATATACAATTTATATATACGAATCTCGAAACATAGTTAATTTCTCGAAATAAAACATTGGGGCAAGAAGAATAAAGAAGGAAGGAAATTTTCTCGAGCAAAGCGTTTCCATCATTTTGTCATCGGTTTTCCGGTGAAACCTAGCAGAGCTACGGATTAAAAAATGTCCCGCTATCGAGTGAAAGTGGAAGCCACCGGTGGGACTTCTGTGTCTATATATCGATCTTCCTGTGGTATGGTACATTTGCCATAGAATTTGCCACAGGGTGCAGTGTGGGATCCGGCACGGGCGTAGAACTCGGCTCTTCCCACCCCACCCCACCCCACCGTCAACCGGCTATTCGGCTAATAAAAATAAATTGTCACCGTCTCGAGGCTAATTAAATCGATCCGGGAGGGGAGGGGAGGGGAGACGAATCTTTCTCGTTTACCCCCTCGTAGGTGGTGGTGTGCGCACACCACCCGCAATGTTTCTTCGTTTCTTTCGTTTTAATCAACGAATTACCGATAATCCTTCGTGTAAACGTCAATTGAATAAATCATATTGATGGAACAGGTATCATATTGATGTTTTTGGTGTGTCTCGTTTGGTTGTTTGAAAAAAAAAAAGAAAAAAGAAAATCTTGAAAAGCGTTATTTTTTTCGTTGTTGATAAGAGAGGAGGAGATTTTGAAATTTTTATCACATCACGAGGAATTTTATTTTTAATTGGGAGACAATATTTTCTGTTATATATGACGTAAGTGAAAAATATTTTGTCGCGGGAATGAGAAGATCGAAGAAAGTCTTGGTTATGTTAATTGAAAAGTTAAGATTAATTACGAAGTTCCGTTCTTGATGAAATAGTTGGGGCTTGATGGAAGGAACGTTGGCTGCTTCCTACTAGAGCGGAAACCTGCTGACTGAAAAAAAAAAACTAATAAATCTGAAAATAGAAAGGAAATACACTCTGCGTATTTCTATTAAATATCTACGATATTATTTATAATCGAAGAATAAATTAAATGCATAAATAAATAAACGTTTTCGCTTCAAAAAGTTACTTTTAAAAAGTTCTGACGAAAAACTTCAGATGAAAATTTCCAAAAAAAAAAAAAAAAAGTATATACAAAAATATATATCGTTTATCCCAAACGAATTTCCAATTCTTCAATAATATAAAACAACAAAGAATAAGATGTAATTATAATTATAAAGATTTAAACGAGACTTCTCATAAGAAATTACGATATCCTACACGAAATGAAACGAAACGAAAACAGATCGAGTTTCGAGAAAGAAAAACGTTCCCTTGATTTCGTGAAATATATCGCCCTTAACACGATCACGATACACGCGATATATTATCACGATCTAAACGAGCAGTGGCCGCCAATTATAGGCTAGTTTCATTCGTTTACTCGACTCCTTTTCTTTCTTTCTTTTTTTTATATATATATATATACATATATACGCGTCTCGATAGGAGAGCAGGGGGGGATGGTTCATGCGCATAAATTCGTTGCAAGTACACCCTACGCCAATGTGGACTTCCACCCTTAGAGGTTGCCAGGCAACGCCGGTCTCTCACTGTGTCAAACTCAAGCACAACCACCCCAGACCATCCCCTTCTTACGAGCCCGGCAATCCCCCCCCCCCCCCCCTTCCCCCCCGTCCGCCACTCTTTTCATTTTCTCCTCTCCATTTCCCTTCCTCCGCCACTGTTCATCGGCCTCCTCTCCTTTTCTCTTTTCCTCTTCCGCGCCGTCGGTTACCCTATATTCCCATCCTTACCGACCGTTCCAATCCCTTACAACTTTCTTTCATCCTTCTCCCACTTTCCTCATTTTTGTTATTTTTTCCTCGTTGTTTTCCCTCCTTCTTTTCTTTTTC